CTGCGCCACTCTAGTCCAGAATTTGGACGCTCCTAGGGCATCTTCCGCCAGCCGAAAATGGCTCCCGGATCCTGGACGGCCCCAACACACGTGTGGCCCCTTTTGTCGGCTTCAGGGCAATGGAGGGGTAGAGCTGCCGGCCTCGCTCAGGCTCAAACGCAGCGATCGGCACCCATCGTGGTGGACAGCCGGTGGAGATTGCGGATGGTCGTGCATCTCGCCATCGCTGATTTTGCGGAAATCCCCGCTATCGTCCACGGCGAAGCAAGGACATATCTGGGATCCGTCGTTGCCAGCAGGTCTGCTGGCTCTGAAGGCTAGGCATGGAGCAGATGCGTGCCCCAAAAAGCTCCCCGTTCGTTGCGTATCTCCAGTCGGTGTCCTGCTTGGTGCAAGGAACGCCTCCTCACAAGACGACATCAACGCCACCAAACACGGCCGATGGAGGGTGTGGATGCTCCATCTGAGTCTCCAAGTGGTGTATGGTGGCGCTCTTATGTTCCTCAAGGACGGCGTCAAAAATCTGTTGCGGCAGCGTATCTCAGAGCGGCATGAATGGCACACGAAACGCTCCTTGTGGACGATGCCTGGATTAGCCGCGTCCAGCGATCTTTCCGCTGCTGCGAATCGAGCCGACAAGCATAGCTTTCCAGACCTTCCGTGGTGGCCTGAAAACTTGCATCCGCCCTGCCCAAGGCGGCAGCCCCTTGCGAAAACGCATTGATTGTGAAGTTCGCCGATTTCCGGGTTTCCGATCTGAATTTTGAAATGCCCAAACGGCCGTCAAAACCACGGTCGCGATCGACGATCGAACTGCACGGATCTCAGTTCCGCGGCTTTTGTGCTTCGAGAGGAAGGCCTCCGACCTGCCGCCACAACTGCAGCCGCAGACGTCCACTTTGCGCCGCGCACCAACAGTCGCAAAGTGACCTGGTCAAAGGGCCGGTTTGAAAAGGAGGGGGGGGGGGGGACCGGCGCGATCGTGGGAAATTTGGGGTCTTTGGAAAAGTCATGTGGGTTGAAAGTACTGCAATATGATATACACTTATCCGTTCTTCACAAAAATTTGACAGCAGGTAAAAGCCTCGTAGTTAGTGCTTTGGACAAATTTCCAATAAAACCAATAAGGGCGTGATACAATGATGGCCTCCCAAACAAATTGTTTTCTTTATTTTCCGACAGAGGAAGTAAATGAATAAACTAAACGCTTGTCACCTACTACTGTGCCCCATCACTTTCCATCGAGAGGATCATATTTTTGACTGGATTAAAGAATGTCAGGCAAACACTGAAAGGTCTGTGCAGTCGACAGTCAAGGGGGTGGGGAGGGGGGATGGGGGGTTGGGGGCGCCTAGAAAAACCGCTTGGACCGTCGGCAATAATCATCATGGTGTCGCGCGACAACAATATCGTTGGACAGCATGTAGAGGCTGGGAAGCGCGCCCATCTCCGTGCTGCACTTGCCCCACTGTCGCTCACTCGCCTTCGCTCGTGCATAGCCCAAGCCATGGCGGCCAAACGGGCAGACCCAGGGCTGCGAATACGAGGCGTGATAACGTTGGAGTTGGGCGCCAGGATATTTGCCATGGAAATGGACTCAGAGAACAAATACACGAGCCCAAGGCAGACTTTGTGGGCCACAGAATGTTGCTTTGATCGCCAATAAATTGTTGCACGCGGGGAGCTTGCTTGGGCATGTATTTAGTCCCTCTGTCCTTTCCGCGACGATCCCTGCTTGTCTCGGACACCCTGAACCCTAAACCACTGACCCCCGCGTTGGCCTCGTGAGCGGAAGAAGAAGGGGTCCTCGCGAAAAATACAGAGGGACTAGTGTACTTGCGCTTGCTTGCGGGCCCGTCAGCCCTGGGTGGACCAGACCGACTCCGCTTTCGGATGAGAGCGAGCCAGCGAGTGGTCAAAAGCCTTCCCACACCCGGCGCCCTCGAGCTGCTGGTGCTCGCGACCGTCGGTAAAAAGGCCACGCTTTCAGCGAAAAGGCGTCGCGCAACATCCCCTGATGCGCACGTGCCCGCATCAGCCCACCTCCCAAGGCCACGCGCTCCAACGGATTCGCCCCGCCAGCAACCAATCCCGCACGAGGGGCGGCGAGCCAGCCAAACCCCAGTCCCCGTCAGCCCCACACCCCCGCTTTCCCACCCCCACCTCCACCCCCACCCAATACTTAACCCCAGTACCTGCTCTCATTTTCCAGTACCTAACCCCAGTAGTGGACCCCAGGCGCCCCCGCCTGCCGCGAAAAGTGCGTCCCAGGGGATAGCGCCCGGGGCTGGGGTGCCGCGGATTCGCCAAAACCGGCCGAAATTCGGCTACCAAGGATACGGCCGCCTGTGTCTCCCCCCCCCCTTCCGCGGGCGCCGCGGCCCCCCACCCCCCACCCCCGCGCACCCCCCACCCACCCCTTTCCAAACGCGTCCGTGGCCCCTTGGGCAAAAGGGCCGAAAAGTTGAGAGCCGGCCCCGGCGGAATGGCGCCGGAATTTCGCGGAGGGGGGCGCAGGGATGCGGCGCGGGGCCGCGGGGGCAGGGAGGCGTCCGTGCGCGCGGCGTCGCCGGGACGCGGCAAGGCAGAGGGCGGGCGATCGGCGGGCGGCGCGGGGCCGTCCGGGCGGGACGGGGGATGCGGCGGGGAGGTGGACGGCGCGCAGTACAAGACGGACCAGTTCCGCATGTTCTGCCTCAAGGTGCGCGCCATGCCCGAGCCGCGGCGGGTGTGGGCGGCGTGGATCTCCGGGCGAGCGCCGATCCGGGGAACTGACCCGTGGCGTGGGTCAGTCGGAGTTGGGCCGCTCCGCGAGGCGTCCGCTGGGGTTGGCGATCGAGTCGATCGTCAACCCCTTCGGAACGGCCGGGTGCCCGTCCGTCCCGGCACCTTCGTGCGCGGCGTGGCGCGAAACGCCTCTTGCGTGGCCCCGCTCCGCACCCCCACTCCGCCGATTGCCGCTTTCTCGGCGCGCTTCAGATATGGATATCCTGACGGTCTGCTTGGCCCGTCCTCCCTGCCCCAGGTCCTGCAATGCAGCAAGAGGTACTGCCACGACTGGACGACCTGCCCGTTCGCGCATCCGGGCGAGAAGGCGCGCCGGCGCGACCCGCGCAAGTGCCGCTACACCGGCATCGCCTGCCCCGAGATGAAGCAGGTGGGGGCGGCAGGCCGCCCCGGGATGGCCGCAGGCACCGTCATTCCTCCCCGACTCCGGCGGGGGAGGGGGGTCGAGTGCGCGAGCTGCCGCGGGGTCCGCGACGCGTCCCGCGGGCGTCTTGCCGTACCTCCCGCGGGGTTCCACGATCGGAAGAAGGCCCGGTGCCGGGAATCGCGCCGGCCTGCGAGTTGCGCGTGTCCGCCCAGCCATCCCGCCCACCGTGTTTTCCGTTCCGCAATGTTGATGCGCATGTTGCTGTCGGGCTTCGGCAGGGTCCGTGGGGCGTTCCGGAGGCGCCCGGCGCGGGGGAGCCATCCGGAAGGCCGCGAAGCTCGTGGCCGACGTGGCTAGCCCCCCCCGCTCCGCTCCGTCGTCCTGGCCCTGCGCCCATCACGCGTGCCCGCAGATCGATTCGGATCTCAAACCGGCGCGTCCCGCGGCGGTGGCCGCGCGACGCGGCATGTCAAGTCCTTGTCCGTGTCGCCTCACCGGCAGTGTGCCCGCCACAGGGAGTGGGCTGCCCGCGCAGGGAGCGCTGCCCCTTCGCCCACAACGTCTTCGAGTACTGGCTGCATCCCAGCAGGTGCGCTCCCCTTTCCCACGCTAGACGTGCGATTCTGCGCGCCATGTCGCCGATCTTGACGCAGAAAGATGCTCCAACGGCGGTCGCCTGACGCCTCGGTTGTCCTTGGGCCGCCTTTTCGGGTGGGAGTCTCAGGGGCTTTTCCCGATTTTATGATCCCCAATGTCTCTGACCCAGTTCCACCGCAGCCCTGCAAGCAGGCCCTTCCCGCCCCCATCCCCTCGCCCCCGCCTCTGCCTGGCCGCCCTCCTCCAGCCCTGACATTCCTCCCTAGTTTCGTCTCACCGCGTGCCGTTGCCCTTCCCTTTTTTGCGCATATTGTCCGCTCCCATCCCCTGTTGGAGGTCAAGCCCCACCACTCCGCCACCCCTCAGATCAACCCTGGCCTTGCCTGCAGTGCCCAAGTCCCCCACCTTTTTTCTCCAAGGCCAAGTTAATGCCCTCCCATTCAGACCTCCCCCCCCTGCCCAGGAGGGGGTTGTCCTTTGTGTGGCCTGTTTCTCTGTTGCTTGCTCTCCACGACATATCTTACCCCCACCCCTTTACAGGTACCGCACCCAACTCTGCAACATTGCCGCCTCCTGCAACCGCAAGATCTGCTTCTTCGCCCACACTATTGAGGAGCTGCGTGTGCCAGCGCCCGTGGGCGGCGTGGACGCCACACAGCTGCTGGCAGGGGCCAGGGGGCAGCCCCAGCCGACCGGCGCCACGCCCGCATTCCAGCGCGGCGCGGACAAGGCGGCGGGCCCGACGCCCAGGCGCACGGCTGCTGTAGAGCCGGTGCGACGAGTGGCCGCTCCGGCACCGGTGAGTTGTGGGGCAATCTGCTGCCAGCAGTGCTGCTGTCCTATGAAGGACATGAAAGAAGTGAATTGATTGAAGTGACAAGAAAGAAGCAGAATGAAAGTTGTGAAATTATAGGAGCTTAGTGACAGAAGTGAAACAAAGAAGTGTCGTTTGCAAGTGGTGAATTCGGAAAAGGGTGTTCTTTGCCAAGCATCGACCGCTCCTCCTGGACGTGTTCTCCCTACTCGTTTGGTCGGTGTCCTTTGGTGAGCGCTGGATCGCTGGCTCCTCGACATCTCTCTAGACCTTGGCATCTGCCACTGACATGGTGTGACACGTGCATGTCTGGCAGTTCCAGCCCATTCCCTGTTTTAGGAGAGGCTGCAGAGCCTCTACGATGAGAGGAGATCTGCCCTTGGTTTGGATTGTTGGGTGGGGGTCCTTTTTTTAGTTGCTGGTGGTGTTTTGGAAATGAGTTTCATCACACCATGTAAGAATGCGCTGTTTCCCGTTTGGGGGCAGGTTTGCCTTGCTTCTCCTGCTGTTAGGTATCTGTCCATGGGTCGGGTTAGCCAGCTGGGGTTGGCTGGGTTTTTGTTGAATTTGAAAGTACTGTGTCACATTGAAGAGCCGAATTGCCACGCCTGTCCAGGCAGAAGAGGCGTGGGCCTTGTGTGTCACCTCATGAGGAAGCTGCCAAGCATTCTGCGGTGAAATATATAGATCTTGGGAAAGTTGAAAATGTTGTCACTCCTCAACCCTTGGCCTGGAGATTGTCAGGAAGGTCCACAATCCGCCCCCTGAATGTGACCAGTGCTGTTGCCTAAACACCACAAGAACTGAGAGGTTGTGGACATTTCCTTTTTGACACCTGCTGTTGATTCCAGAAGACAAGTCATGTATTTTAGCGCCGCCTCCCAGAAAGCAACCAACCTCAGACACTCAGACTTCGCACTTGGGACTTGCCTTGCACCCCTCTTCCATATCTCAGCACTGGAGGTGCCACTGACAGCAGTGCACATGCACTCTGGAGTGTCCACATAACTGCAGAAAGCCTTCATCACTGCTCTTCATTCACAACATTATCATCTCATTGCTAGCACGTGTGTTGCTGTTGAATCCCAGGACGAAAACCGAATTATCAGCCCACTAGCCCCTGCAGTGACAACCAAAGATGTCCGTATCCAAGCAACATTGTGGTGCGTATGTGTCCACAGCGTCAGAGTGTGCCAAGTCCAGCACCTCCGTCTTCGCTGTACAGCAGCGACCAGGTGGCTGGTCATCGTCCCGCCTTCAGCCAGCCGGCTGCACCCAATGGTGCGGCCACCTATTCTGAGTCCCAGGCACGGCAGCTGCTGGAATTGCTGCGCAGCACAAGGCAGCAGGCGTTGCAGGTGTGCGTCTAACGTCTGCAAATTTTGTTTCTGCTGTGAGTGCTTTTTGAAAAGTGTGTACTGTGTGTGCTGGGCTTTATGTGCAGTGAGAGCTTTGTCATGTCATGTGTCTGCTGGAAATGTGTGAGGAACAAGGTTGCAGACACTTCAGTAGGGCAACCCCTCCCCTCCTGCATTTACATCTGCTGTGAGGGGTTGTTTCAAGTACTTGCTGTGTTTGCTGGACTGTCTCCACTCTTGAGCAGCTTTTGCAGTGTATGATATTTTGTTGTAAGTGCTGCGCAAGTGAAGCTGGCAGACGCTGCAGTGCCCCCTTTGTTCTCCCAACAATGTTGCAGACTGATTCTGCTCTAGAGACTTTTTGATGCCATTAGCTACGAACTTTTGCTTCTTGCAGACTGTTGATGTATCTGCTGCATGCTGCCCTGTGGTTGCTCCAGGACTGTCCAATATGAAGTTTTTGAGGTTTCTTGGAGGGGTTTTAGAGGTTGTTTTCCATTTTGGAGATGGTAATATGTAGACAAGTTAATTTCATACTGTGCCCACCGGACATAGAATGCATGTGCCTCAATTTCGAATCTCAAGCCACATTTGGATGCATCAGTGACAGTTTTATGGGGCAATCGCAGCTGCTTGTATTCCAAGGTAGTGACCGAATTCGACACTGTTTATGCTATTAAATAATTGGATTGCACCCTTTTTACACCCTTTTGGGTGGAGTGGGCACAAATCTCGAAGTGCCGATTACTTAGATTAAGTACTGATAGTGCTTTCTGGTACTGCAGTCACTTGGTGCGCAAGGTGTTAAAAAGGGTTGAATGTGGGCCCTGCACAGAATGCTGCTGCCTGCAATCCTGACCCTGCGCAAGTGGGCAAATGGTAAACCAAAAGCCACATATCTTTGAGAGTGAAAGTTTGGAATACAAAACCACACTTGCAACTTAGATGTGAGCGTGGAGGACTAAGAAGACGTTTTTGTTGCAGGTGCACCCCAGTGTGCCCTTTGCTGACGTGCAGCAGGTGCAGACCCTGCTGTCCATCCTGCAGCAGCAGCAGCAACAGCTGGCCCAGGAGGCGGCAAGGAAGGCTGCAGACTCAGATGCAGGAATGACTCGGGCACTACAGAGCTGCCTGAGTGCTCTGTACTATCAGGTTGGTGCCCTGAAATTGGGAACGACTGGGTTGTCTGTTGTGTTCTGTGTGTGTTTTGACAATGCGGGGGGAATGATTTCTCCAGTGCAACATTGTTGGCTCACTTGTGTGTTGGACATGGCTTGCGATTGGTTGGTATGTTTGGGACAGTGGTTTGCCAAGTAGCTGGTTTAGAATATTGTCATATAGCAGTGCAGCTGTATGTCATTTGTATGTCGTGGCTGGCTGCAATAGCTTGTCACATAACTGGTGGGGTGAAGTTCTGCTGCTGTTTGGTCAAGTGTGATCGAATTCAGTATTGAGTGTGGGATTCTGGATTCATGTGTGGATCCTTTGGTCCAAAACTGTGAAAAATGCGAGGCTGCTTGTAATGTGATGTGGGGTGTTAGGACTCCTACACAGCAAAGAAAGAAACAGCGGAGGAAGGAGACACCAAGTGCACCAATGTGTTCACAGAGCCATGTGTCTGCATGCCTGCAGGTGACCGTGCAGCCGATGTTGGAGACCGAGCGTGAGCGACTGGTCAAGATGCTTTCATGGATCTTCATGATGGTCCAGTCCCATTCCCTGCAGGCCTTCGGCGGCGACATGCAGGGCCCCTGGGACGACCCGGCCACGCAAAGCATGGTCCTGGGCGCAGACATCAGCATCGATCAGCCCCCGGTCGGCCCTCCGGCGCCATCCTCCGAGCGAGGGACATCCTCATTCAGCGACCGCGGCAGCCTGAACAGCATACCTGAGATGCAAACGGCAGGAATGGATATCTTGGGGATACATCGAGGCCACGGGCCATCCCAGTGGGGGACATCTCCACAGTTGGTTGGTGCCCAGTATGAGGGGGCGGTTGTGGGCCGGCCAGGGAGGGCGGACCTTGGCGAGGTGCACCGCCGGCGGTCGCCGGCGGAGGGGTACGGGCACCCGGCGATGGTGGCAGAGGCAGTGGCAACGCGGCTGTCCTCAGACAGCGGGTGGAGTGCGAGGGCCAGTGGGTCCGTAGAGATGGGGTGGGGCGCGAGGACGGAGACTCCCCGCTTCAGCGCGCACTCCTCGGGTGAGAGCGCCGTCACGGAGCTGTGGGGGATGCTGTCAAGGCAGTCGGGCGACAGCACCAACCGCAGCAGCAGTGTGAGCATGTCGGACGCTGCAGATGCATGGGTGCGTGACTATGGCGTTCTGCACCGGTGAGGGGGACGTGGATTGGCTAACCCCGGCGGAGGTTCGCATGGTGCAGGGGTACAGAATGCAGGCCATTGGCCTGGTGTGGTTCTGGTGGTGGTTGGGATCAGTCGAAGCAGTGGATGGATGGGTGTGAGTGCGTGCGCCCCGTTGTTGTTCCTTGGCGCGTGTGTCGCCAGGATTGCTGCGAAGGGGCAACATTCCTCCACAGGGCAGGATCGTGGCTATGCATAGGTGTGGAAGCTCAGGAGGGCTTGGGGGACGTGCAATGGGAGGTTTCCGGCCTGGTCTTCTTTGGTGAGGGTCAGCATTTGTGGCAGGCGGCGTGCAGAAGGCCATCGCCACTGCCGCCGCTGCAATGAATGTTGGCTTCCATTTATTCTTTATTCGCCCCGTGAGAAACCGGGGCGCGAGCATTCAGACAAAGCGGCATGGGGCGGATAATGTTGGCATTTTGCGGGACAGGGAACGGGATACTTGTTTTCCTGGGGTTGAGGAATATGCGTCTAAGAAGTGGTTGCTCTGCTGTTGCAGGGCAGCAATGCTTGAGGTCGTGCCAGTGATTGGGAATATGGGGGCGGCAGCAGACCAGGGGAGTTTCGGGTTCATCAGGGATAGAGCGGTGTTTGTTCTTTAGCCTCTTGCTATTCTGAAGTATTATATCGCATTCAACAGATAAGATGAAGCGGTGGTTGCACGATGGACCTGGGAGGGCTGTTGTTCTTTGATGTCCGTTTCTGCTGCATTTTTTCGGCCCAGTGGAGGGATCCTGCCATGGGTGGCAACGGCCGTTCGCCACATAACTGGTTTGGCATCATTGCCTCCACCAGAGTTCAGATGGGATCGTGGGCCCCAGCAGTCATGCCCCTCCCCCCTCTGCTCTCCGGAACTAAGGGGTGGGATTTTCTAGTAAACAGCGGAGGGGCGTTGGTGGGGCGTGCGGCTGGAGTTTCTTTTCTCCCCTTCTTTTAGGTGGGGCAGGCAATACATCAACTGCCCTGCAGTGAGCGTTTTTGTTTCCTCTTTGGATCGAACTACTGCCAGGCGTTGTGGGTGCCAAGGCGAGCCAGGCAGTGGGTGAACTGGTTACTGCTTGTGTTCTGCTGGAATGTTGGACTGGCATGCAGTTTCACGGAAAAGTTTCTCTGGTGGCGGGTCACAAGGCGGGCCTGGAGGGCAGGGACGCTGGGCCCAGCAGCGTTCTCAATGGCTGGCAGGTGAAGGAGTGTGGAGCACGCGGATGCTCGGGGGGTGGCACAATGTATTGGGCAGCAGTGGTGCTGCTTGCTTGCTAACGTGCCTTACCACAGCAGAGGGGTGGGCAAACAATTCATGAAGTACTGGAGGGAATGGTTGGTTGCCAGGATTTTGTTTCCTGTCGTGATAGCCAGTCGCTGGGCCGCCCAGAGAGCTAGGTGGCAGAGTGGCGTGATACGCACGCCTGAATCTTGGCCTTGAACGCTGATCGCAGTTGGGGCGAGCCAGGACATATGACACTGGTGTCCCCCCGCTTGCTAGGCTCATTAAAATCCATAATTCGAATCGGAAGCGATGACACCGACGCTTTTCTGTGTTTTCTGGGGTGTAAGGATGCATGCATGTTTTTTTGTTCTTTGTGGTCATCGGTGCCGAGATAAGGGAACCAGCAGCGCCTGGTTTCCTGTGTGTGGTACAGCACACAGGTGCAGATTGGCGGAAGTCTTCAGGTGGTGGATGGGGCGAGGCAAGTAGGAATACAAATGAGAACACGTAGTCCAGTATTTTTTGCGGTGGTGCTGCTGGCCGGCTGATGAGCACCTTGCCATTGGGCTCCCCCACCGCAGGAGAATGTTACTTGGGCCTTGAGGCCCGTGCGCACGCCCCCTTGTGTAGTTGAAGGAACTTTTTGGAACGTTTTTGCACACACGGCAGTAAATTTTAGCACGGCGTGGGAATCCAGATCGGTGTCGTAATTGTTGGGCGGGCATGGGGTGTGGTTAGTCCCCCGTGGAGTGAGGGCCACGACAGTTGACTCAGAGCCGCCGCCACCGGAGGGGATACAGCGAGCTCAGGCGACGTGACAGCTGGGACAATTGGGAATCTGTCAAAGTGACATCTCCTATGCATAAAGTTTCTGACGAAGAGACAGGGCTCATGTGGATAGAATCTTTAGCGAGGGTGCAGCTTTCAGGGCGCATGCTCTGGCGACGTGACAGCTTGTGCGGGCACAGGTCGTGGCGACGGGACAGCTCGCTGGTGCGCAGACGCGTGTGAATTGAAGGGTGGGCTGGAAGAAGTGGAGATGTGCAACGCACGTGTGGTTGGCAGAGCTGTGAGACGCTCTGTTGGATGGCCAGCCGACGGTATGGCAGTAGCACGCTGGGCGGGCAGTGAGCCATGTGGGCGGCGGGAGAGTGTGGATGAGGGGGGTGACGGTGGCCGTTTGGCTCGCCATGTAAACTAGTCCACTCCATTTTCTGCAGAGGCGCTGGCCCTGTGTTATGTAGTGAGCAATGTTTCACTTGCAATGCGCGAGTCAACTCATGTGTGACGCAATGCGTATCCATGACGTCACTCCTGTGACGCCGTTTTGCCTCTTTTTGGGCTTGTCCTGACTTCAGCCCAGGTCAGTACTCAGTTGAGGCTGACTATCAGTATCTTTGATGAGAGCGATTGCTCAACAAATAGTCCTAAAGGCAAGCAAATTAGGGACTAATGGCAATGGCCGCTCGCATGCACACAGCTCCCACATAATGAGGCACCCAGTCAAATTCCCAACAAAGGCACTACCATGTAACCACGTTACATAGCCAAGCCCCATTTCGCTCTTGCCCGCATTCGGAGCGCACCGGAAGCTCGGTTCCCACGACAGAGGGCGCGGCGCCAAGAAGAGGCCAGAAGTGAACTCTACCGTATCCGGACCGCGCCACCTAACACCGCTGCACACTGCGCGAAGGCTTCTCCGGTCGGCTTTGTGAGCCTTTCTTGTCCTCTTCCTCAGGGCACCATGGTGCGAGTGCCCCCAGAGTGATAATATTACTGCCTGCACCTAATCGGTGACTGCTTGCACCGAATCACGTGCACGCTATGTCCTAACCTCAGTTTTAGGGTTAGGTTTAGTTTTAGTGTGAGTTTTAGGGTTACGGTTAGGGTTAGGGCTATGGCAGGTTTAGGTTTAGGTAAGTTTTGGAAGGGGCTGCTGTAAGCAGTCACCGATTCTAGTGCAGAAAGTCACCGATTTGTTGCAGCCAGTAATTGTATGCCTGGATCGGAAGCGATCGGATTGCCGGTCAGCAGCAATGAACCAAGCGAGCCCCAGGTGAGCCGCCTGGTGCAGTTCCTTCCGCTTTCCCTGGTGCTGGTGTCACGTCGGGTCTTGTCAAAGGCGTGGAAAATGGGATCGATTATGAGCTGCTCGTGCAACGGCTCCCCAATAAACGTAGACACGAAGTGGAAATAAAAGACCTGCAAATCATTGGGGAAGATGTGCTGGTTGTGAAGAAACAGATTGGCAAGGGTGGATATGGATTCGTGTATGAAGCGGAATGGAACCTGGTCACAGTGGCTGTGAAAAGGCCGTTAGTGGAGGGGGACTTGCCCATTGAAGAGTTTGCCAGCTTTGTCAAGGAAGTGATGGCGCATGTCAAGTTGCGTCATCCCAACATTGCTCTGGTGCATGCAACAACGCCATTTGTCTGGCTGGTGATGGAAGCAGCAGACACAGATTTGGGTACCCTGTGCCATGGGAAGAAGAGGCTGAGTTAGCGCAGCGCAGTGAAGTTCCTCCGGCAAGCAGCCAGGGGACTGTGACACCTGCACTGCCTTTCCCCTGCAATCATTCATGCGGACGTGAAGGCTTCCAGTTTCCTCATATTCGGGATGGAGCCAGGCAGTTGCAAGGTGAAGGTTGCAGATTTTGGCCTTGCATTTGAAGCACTTGAGCGGAGAAGCAAGACTGCCGGACTGGGAGAAGGAACCCTGGGGTGGATGGCTACGGACATATATATGAACAGAAGCCCGTCGCCATTTCATCAGATATCTTCAGCTTCGGAGTTACCACCATGTATGTAATAAGTGTTGACAGGGGCACACCCTTATGGAGCAGACAAGCTGAATCGTTAAGCAAGAGCTGCTGCTGTTATGAACAAGAAGCTCTCCGGCCAAGAGCCATGCCCAGTTCGGCCTGAAGACTGTCATGAGGACATGCATGCACTCCTGAGGCGTTGCTGCTCTATTGATCCTGAGGAACGGTCAACAGTGCTGGAGGTGACCACATTTGTTGAGAAGCTGCCAAATGACTGGAAACTCCCTTCCCAGCTTTCAACTGAAGTGAAGTACGGCTGTAAAATATGAACTGTTTCCGTTCTAGACATTGTCTAGTATACTGACTTTGCCTTGGATTCTCATAAAATATTGTTTTGGGTGTGAAGACATTGACCAAAATTTGCATTGTACCTACACAAGCGACAGTTATCGACTAACTGAGATGTACCTACAACCCAACTATGACTTTCGAGCTGTGGAAGTTTTAGCATGATACCCATCATTGCTCCCAGCATCAAACTACCCCCAGCTGCTGCGTTGTAGCAGTTATTGGGTAGCCTTCTTCAGTTTTCTGGTGAATAATTGCAAAAATAAGACACAACAAGCTTTGGAGACGCTATCTCCTTTTTATGCACATATTCAGGCAACTGCAACAGCAATAACTTCTCGTGTTTTTGTCGGAATGGCAGTTGCCAGAGGCTATCTGTATTGTGTATATGTAATCTCTGTCCTGATCTGATTTTATTCTGCACAAAACGAAATCCTGAATTCCAACCAGCAGATAGGAAGCACATGGGACAGTCAAGGCTACAGCAGAGCCAAATTCAAGGGTTTGCACATCAGTCTCATGGAATGGATCAACCAGCAGGTGTCATGAGGCAGCATGCAAGAGAAGAGGGGCGGGCATGCTTGCTGACACCAACTTCTGACCATTCCAATATTTCCACCTATCCTGTCGTCCATCGGATCCTGACTCCAACTCTGGC